CTAAGAAATATAACGCTTTCATCACAAATAAATATTCATACATACTAAGGAAACCAGTAAACATTACAATTCTGACTAAAATTCTCGAAAAAAACCAACTGTTAGGCTCAGTTTTTACAAATTGAATAACGTTATTCAAATTGTATAGATAGTTAGTTGCTCTGTAAGGAACAACTTATCGTTTCTCCGGTAATCGAACCAAGGGCCAAGGTTTAACCATTGCACTACGAAAGCTGTTTGATTTAGATTTATTTAAATATCGGTTTCGTCATCGCATAGTACCCAAATGACATTTCGATCACGAAAAATCACTTTGTAACAGATACATCATACATTAGCCCCGGTTTTTGTCTCGACCGTGCATAATCCACCTCACAAAAAAAGTATTAGCACTATACACCTCGTTGGTGTGTATTGTTTAATGAAGATGTAGAACCAACATTGATTTCAGGTCCTGAATTTGATTATAGGTAGAGATTAAAGAATATATTCTATAGTAAATTTATCTATATACATAGAAATAAGTATATACAACTATCACATATACAATGCATATGTGTATGTGTATAATTTGGATAAACGTATAAGGGAATCTAGTTCGAAAAATATGGTGATCAATTCCTTTGTAAGTACGTTTGCAAATACGAAAGCTCATGAATCGTCTTGAATCTTTATAGAACCTTTCTGTTGCTAAAAGTACATATATTTATAGTCTGTAGGTTACACATTGAAATAAAACACTTTAAAACGCGACATCATTTCCGATGACACGTTGGGCCGTAGTGAAAATCTTCAAATAATTTAACTACCTAATTATATTTCGGGTCTTAAACCGTTAAAGTGTTTTCTTTAAAAAGCATTTTTACTGTTACAACGAAATATATTCTTAATGAATGAATATATTAGATATTAGTGTTTTTAAACACTCCAAAGTGTGTAACTATTTCTTAATGCCTTAAATTACTATATTACAATTTTCTTACTAATATGTGTAAAATTTCTTGCATTATAGAAAGAAAGCAACGTGAACTTTTACACCACAATTACTCACAAACCGAAAAGTATTTGTTTGTTTACCTGACAGACACCGAATGGAGTTAATCGCACTCCAGAAAAAACGCATGGCGCCTGCGCGTTAGGAGCCGAGTTATTTATAGGGATTATGTGTCTCGCCGTCCCGTTCGCGCACACGATAACACGTATATCGGTCTCAGCCACACTAACAATTAGTCGGGGTCTGTCAGCGATAGCTCAATAAGTTTAACAATGGATGAGTTTTTTCGTGGTTTGCGCAACTTGGCTCGTGCCGGCGCCTAATGGACCAGCCCTACCTGTGACGTCACAACAGGCGGCCCCTACCCTCACTGGGTATAAATTATTAGTTCTGTAAAGTGGTGCTACCCACTATCACTATTTAGAGTAACGAAGGGGAGAAAGTCATCTTTGAAATGAAATAGCGGACGAATGGTATTAATGAATACACTAAACTTAATTTGTAATTGTAATATTAGTATTCGTTTTCTTATATGGACTAGAATTCTACCTCCAAAATACACCCCCTCCAGTGTGGTAAAGTCTTGCGTTTAAGAACACTTTTTAAATAAATAGAAATATATTTTAAATTTAATGATATTGGTGTCACGGGCGGGACTTAACCGACATCGTTCCGTGCTCACTCTAACACCTCATTTTTCTCTTTTGAATTTCTCCAACCCCAACTGCACCTTTTGTGCAAACTATACTACCTATACTACTTTTAAGATGTCAAAGTATTACAATAATACACTTACAATGATAACATGCAAAGTATTATATAAATGTTATTTCATTTAATGGAAACAATTAAAATAAAACACTTTAACGGTTTAAAACGCGATATATTAGTTAAACTTATTTGAAAATGATTTTTAACGTCGGGCCGAAGTCGAAATCATTTTCAAATAAGTTTAACTAATATATCGCGTTTTAAACCGTTAAAGTGTTTTATTTAAATTTGTACTACTCGCGTAAACTATAGACAGTATTTAATGGAAACGATATAACTAAATCCCTATTCCAATTACCTTTAAACTTTGTTTACTTATTATTTGTATGAACCTTTAAATACTACAGCTACCTTGTCAAAAGAACCATTCGACTATAATGAGGTTGACATATTTGACAATTAAATGAACTTAATGCGAACTTATAACCATTAATAACTGAGTGTTAACGAATACAACAGCTGTCGTAGGTAGAAACGAAACTCTGCAATTTGTAATTTCGTTTTGGGTTCTTTAATGAAAATAATTTTTCATCACATCTCTATAAGGGGCCCATACTATATTTTATAAAAAAATGTATTCGACATTTTGCTTCACCTTGATAGTACTTATCACTTTAGTACACCACTGGGAATCAAAGTCCGACACTCACACATCTACAACTATACTAAGGGTGTACTTTAGTTTGTTTGTAACATTGTATTAAAGAATATACAGTATTATATAGTATTCTATATAATGTATTTACCTATTAAAAAGGTTGAAATAATTTTGGTATTTATTAGACAACGTAGATGAGATCATAATGGTTTTAAAAGTAAATAAAACGAGTTGGTTTATTACGAATTAAAAAGCATTACTCAAGTTCTATATTTATTAGGTATTTGTTGAAGAACATTTTGGTCTTACCATACCAAAATTAGGTATTAACAAAAAGTTCTACTTGTACTAGATTGAACAGTGAGATTAGTTCGTATCATAAGTGCTATATGATCAATAGCATAACAATCGTGCGACACTGGTGATTAACAACGCCTCTAACTTATATCACCGTACGAGAATTGCGTCCCAGGAACTTCTCTATAATTAGCAAGTAAGGTGTTGAACTGAATCAAGTTTAATGACAGCGGGCCCTCAGCCACTAATTACGACATCCGAACGACATTTTGTCAAGGTCTTCTCATTGATTCGTATTTAACGAGTAACTAGGTCAGTGAAAGTGTTAACGGGTAATTTGGATGCTTAGTTGGCTATGGAAAAACACGCACCAAATAAATTTATTCACTTTTCGAGTGATAATTTACGTATTCTTTCGTCGAAGTACAGAAGTTCTTTGTTGTCTCTAGTGATATAGAACAAAATAAATAAAAACAAAATCTAGTCTCTAATGATAAATAATAAGTAAATCGTTTTAAAGGGTTAAAAACGTGAAATGACATGTTTCCGATTTGAAGCAGTTAAATATGTTATATTAAATAAACTTGACATTGTAGTCTTTAGTAAGACAACGAAAAAATAACTTTGCAAAACAAAAACCGAATACATTTACATAAAACAGTATTACAGCAAATAATTTGGACCATCTTTGGTTTTATATTTTTCTAGTTCCCTTATCTAAAAAAACTTAAATCTAATAAATAGTTCGTCGAATTTATTATAAATTATATTATATTAATATTTCAATTACAGCCTGGCTACTACAATTATTTTAATCAAGTTGCAGAGTATAGTCAAAATAGTTATAAATAAAAAATATGCAACCAATTATTAAATTATTTTTGTACATTTAATTATGCAACATTTTCCTGTTTCTTGTTATTACCTTGTGTTCTGTACTTGATATGAATTAAATTTCGCAATTCCGAATGCTTCTTGCTTAGTTGAAGTGAAAGGATTTAATTTTCTTAATACATTTGTAATTAAATTATTGAGTGTGAAAATCAATATTATGTCGCCTTCTGTCTCGTTAAAGTATACTTTAGCTTTACTGAAAAATTATAACTATAGCACTTACCTATTACAAAAGTTGGCAAAAATAGCGGCCTTAATCGCGTTTTCGTAAATCTATAAAATACAATTTAGGTTTTTTTCCTTTTAAAGTTCTATTTATTTTATGAATTTCGTTTAAATACTACTTTTTAAAATTGTAAACATTTTATATCACACTAGCTGAGTGAGCGACTTCGTCCGCGTAGAATAGTTATTTTGGACATCAAGTTTGTTTTTGCAAACTTCAGAGATGAAAATTTTTCCCCGTTTTTTTCACATTTTCTATTACTTCTTCGCTCCTATTTGTCACAGCGACATATCTGCAAACATCTGTAATGTGTGTACATGTACTGTTATTTTCAGTTCTTTTGTTTGGTTTCATTGTAGATATGTGGAATTAATGATTTGATTTGAAAAGTCATACAATTTTTTATCAATTTCATCCTTAGAGGTAATATGTCTAGTTTTTCTTTATTTAGACATATTATATTTAAGGAGTAGGTGCGCTTGATGGCTATTTTTCAAAAATTACTTATACTCGTAGCTTTTTTATTTCCTCACTAGAATTCAGTACCTATTTCCCAAAACGCGGAGTTCGTTAGATCTTCACCGAACTGTCAATTAAATTAGTATTTTTGTGGGAGACACGTTCTTTGTATTAGCTAAAGTGTTAATCGTCATTAAATGAGATCGTACGAGACGGCTCTTTATGGGTCCAAATGTCCCCTAAGTAAGGAAAGACGTAACGACGGCGCCAAACCTGCCTCGCATTACAATATTACTTTATGGACATTTTAACGGCCATGGATCCTTGGGCCATTTAATTTCCAAATTAAAATGTACGATGTGATATACGCATTGAATACATATATCGCAATTCGCATATCGATATAAATTTATTTTTGCGTATAAACAGTTATCTTAGCATTAAATAATTTAAAAATCGAAAATAAATTGAAAAAAAGAATTCGACTCGGGCAGGACATGAACCAGCGTCGTCAGCGTCCAATTTTATCTTATACTGCGGTTTATCAAGTTTTACAAAACAATATCTATGCACAACAATGATCTTTAAGATTATACAAAACACAATAAAAAGAAATGTTCAGACTGTTACATTCTATAGAACATTTTGTCAAAAATGTTTTGTATTTTTTTATTAAATTATTATTTAACAGAAAAACACAATTTCGTAACGCTTTTGTTTTCATTTTCAAATATTCCCTCGCACTATGTAAAAGGTTGTCTTTAAGCGCGGTCCTTAATAAATATGGATATATTCTCTACACAATAATATTTCTTCGGACAACTCATTTTAATCGCAACCCGATATATGTCGTAGTGTGTAAGTGCGGTGAGGCCGGCGCGAGCCTCAGAAGCGCCGCCTCGAAAGCCTTTCCGTGTTCCGGCGTGCCTCCCCCGCGCCCCGCTCATCTTGCTCACCCCCCGCCGCCTGCAATTAAATCGATCTCTGATGAATTTGAGTAGCTATGAGAAATACCACTTACCGACACTGCGATATTAATATTATAATGTGCGTGCGCAATAAGAACATACGGTAAACCTAAGCTTTTAATTATGATGGTGAGGGTTCGATTTCTAGGTGTAATATCATTTATAATATTTATTACACACGATCTTACACACATACTTAGTCTTTATAGGGCTCATCTAGTTGGCCTCGTATTATCAAAATATTTTAATGAGGCCTCGTTATGCCTAAACAAACTAAGTATTTCACACGTAAAACATCGCAATCACTTGACTTTTAACTATTTAAATAGCATATTTATTGCAATTATATTATAAAAATAAATATTCTCTTAGTTGTTCTATAAAATGAAGCCTCTATACATATTCGACAAATTAATTATAATTATTCCAAAAACACAATGCAAGAAGCATATCACAAGTAAAGAATTCAATCAGTTATTCTGACCAGTGCAAAGAGTCATTCGAGATATCTAGATATCAATGATTTATGACTGTGGACTCTGCTATAAATAGATACTTTCTACTCACTTAAGTAGTACGGATACGCCAGTGGTTTTAATGCTTCTTGACTCAAAGGTGAGATGCATTACACTGAAACCAAGGCCCTGTCTAAGAATCCAGGGGTCCTAGTTCCGACTGACAGTACATATAAGCGAAGGTATAGCTTCTACGTAGATAAAGCTATAATAAAGAAAAAATAGTTTTTTTAAGTGTTTTTCGTTAAAAATAATATTATTCAAATAAAACATTTGTAACAGTTTTAAATGTTGTCTTATTGTGTTAATTTATTCCAATAACGGCGAGACGTTTCGGACGCTTTGCAGCAGATAAATAAGTTAACATTTCGCGTTTTAAACCGTTAAAAATGTTAAAATATATATATATTTTTTAAGACAGCTATACGAAAAACAATGAGGAATTCTCAAGTTTAGTGGCGAGACGCCAACGCTCATAGCACTCAAAGCGGCGCATTATGTTATCGAAATGTTCCTTGGGGCATAAATTACGGGCGAGTGTCGAAGCTGGTTGGCGCGGCTCACTAAAGCCAACTAATGTATTCCGTTGTCCGCTCCGAACCACCGCTTGTCCCGCTCTCAACATCTACTAATTGTGCCGCGACTCGACCACTGTGGTACGGCCGTACGGCGTTACGAAGATTCAGAAGCATTTAATTTCTAGAAGGACGGAAGATATCGAACAGCTGTCAGGACAGAAGAAATAATCAGCCTTTTGGATTGTAGTTGCATTTTTATTAAATCTATATTATTAATTTAATAATTTATTAAATATATACGTTTATTTACCTTGTATTACAATTTCTCATTTACCCATATATAATGGAACAAGGATATCTTTTTAACTGGACGATATCAGTTATCTACAAGCAGTTAATCAAACTTTGCAAAATAACACGATAAAAATTTAATGTAAGCTAACACAATAGAAGAATTTATGTACCTATTTTAACAGATTACATATATTAAATATGGTTCACTTAAATTACTAATTATCAGTAGGGATGAAGAGAAATTCCGACCGAATAACATAGATTTATTCTGTCATAGCTGTTAAATAATATATATTAATAGAATTAATACTTTTAGAATCAAAAACTTTAAGATAAACAGAAATGCCTAGATTTGTCACCAAGCAATTTGAGTAGATTTTTTAAGTCATATTTTAATAGCTAAATAGACATACTAACTTTACAAGTAATCAAAGACATAATTTATTTGATTCTCAGACTTAATTAACAAGTTGATTAACTAAGAAATATCTCAAAAGTGGCTTAATTATTGTTTCAATTGAGAACTATCGACCCGCTCTTGCTTCACTCGGGTGCAATGCTGATACTGACACTACAGAAAAAGTGTGGACTTTAAATAAAAACCTCCCTTTTATATCACTGTATCTATTTAAAAACCGCACCAATCCGTTGGGTAGTTTTAAAAATGTAAGCGCACATAGGGACAGGAAAAGCGATTTGTTTTATACTACGTAGTGATTTCAAACACTGAAAGAACCAAAATTATTTTCATTCGCACAAAATCTTTGCCTGAAAATCAGTTTCAGTTTTTTGACCACATTTGACCATCTCTAATTATAAGCGGCCTCCGATAGTCCCTTTATCGAAGGTCGCGGCAGTTTTTTCTTTGACACAAATAAGGAATGCTTTTATACCGGCGACGTGGGACTTCTAATGTGTTAATCCATTCTATGTGTGTTTTTTTGATATTAATAGCCAACAAACAAAGGCAGCGCTCCCTTTTCCACCAGATAACTTTGCTGTAGGAGTGAGCGTGACAAAAATCTTATAATATGATATCTTTTATAATTGTATAGTGCGTTAGTAATGCGGCAGGTTTGAGCGCGCAGCGAGGCATGTAGGGCAAAGAATCGAATTATTTTAGTTGTAGAATACTTATTTTATAATATTATTCAAGTAATTTTTATTTATATTACTTATTACGCCTATTACAGCATAAGTAAGATTTTTATTAAGAGGCTATTTTCACTTAGACTGCAATCAAAAACTATACAACGCAAAAATTTAACAAAATTCACCTACTCTTTGTGTTTATGTTAAAAGTGACACGTATTAGCTTCCAATTTCGAACTTCAATACAAAATTGGTTTAGACAAAGACACGAAGATATTTTCATTTCAATAGTCTATTATTCAAGTATTTTTTTTAACTAAGTACTATCGTACCATAGATAAAAAATTCAAATTTGTAAGACACTTCTGAAGCTATTAATTTCATTCATGACACATTTTATTAGCTGCATAAGTCAATAACCGTATGTACGTTAAAAGGTACCGTAGAAGTACCGCCCTTTATAAGTTATTTAAATTGAATATTAGCACCTGTTCTGATTGTTTGTCTCGCGTGAACTCAAAAAAAAAAATTCACCAAAATACAATTAATTGATCGAATCCCGTAAAATTATTTGAAAAGTAGTAAGTAAGTAATACATATTAAAAACTGTTTTTTACATTAACACAATGTTTGAGACAAACTAGCAAACCTAATAAGTAATAATATGTATTACCGTTAATAAAACCACTATAATTACACTCACCACGCTGATTTATATTAAATTATAGCTTTTTCACCTTTCATCAAGCTAATTTCACACTTGTCTGTCCTACACATGTAAAAAATAATAGTAGATGATGTTTATAGACTCGTCTAAAAGTCTTTCCGTCGATACAGTATTTGGTCGCGAATCGTTCCACGGTCCGTCCAATATCGGAGAGATTCAGAGAGCGCTCTAATTAATTACCTTCGACATTAAAAAAAACAGTGACCCTTGTCGCGTTAAGAGCGGCGGCGCCGGCGCAGGCGGCCCAGGGAGAGCGGGGGCAGCGGGGCTACACTAATGCAGGCGCCACGCGATAACGCCCGGCCATGGGAACTGTCCCCGGACTATATCCGACATTAATTACCCTCATAATCCGATCCGACTAATCTCCGGAGTCCACGAATTTTCGTTACCTCAACGTCGGCGGGGTTTGATATTTTTCGAACAAAATTATTGACTGTTCTGTTCGATTCGAATCGGCGTTGGTATTTGATTTTGGAATCTAATATTTTATTTCGAATTAAATTTTTTCGTAAGACCTTAGTTTTTGAATTTTGTGTTTTTCATTCCTTTCTTTGCTTCTTTCCAATTAACTGGCAGTAAAGTATATTTAATTGTTACATTTCAGTTTATTCTTAACTGTCATCAAATAAGTTATATGTATATAAAAAAAAATGCAAAACCTGCTAAATAAATATTATAAACAAGACAACTTAAGAACTGTAATTCTGCTTACTAAGTCATGATACAACAAATTTTACAAAAGATCTTGTACTTAAACTATTTACTACTTGAAGAACTAGAACTCTTTCAATACTTATAAATAGTAACTGGTTTCAAACAAAACGTTTTTAATACGTTAAAACGCGAGCTACATTTGTTAATTAACTATTAACTATGAACTGGAGTCACCCTGTGACCACGACCGTTTAAAAGGATAGGAAATAGGTCAAAATTAAAAGTGAGGATCTAATACAGTACGTGTTTGTATCCGTTGTGTTATATTTAATGTAGCGATCGCGTCAACTACTGTAACTTGGATTATTCAAAATTAATAAACAATGATAATGTTTTAGCTTCTTTAACTTGACTTCTTCAAATTACATTATGTCAGTTTGAAGCATTACAAGTGAATCCATAGATGCATACAAGTTTTAGCTGAGTCTTAGTTAAAATAGCTTCTGGTTAGAAATAATATTACCTAGTTACCTCAATCTAATATATAAAATTCTCGTGTCACGGTGTTCGAACTTGAACTCCTCCGAAACGGCTCGACCGATTTTCACCAAATTTGATATGTGTATTCAGTAGGTCTGAGACTATTCTCAGACCTACTGAATACAATAATTTTTCATCCCCCTAAGTGATAAGAGTTAAATTTTTAAATTTTTTATTTTATTTTTTAGACAAAATTTTTAATTTCAATTTTTTTATGATACAACATACAAAAATACATACATTCCTCAATTTTCACCCTTCTACGATCAACCCTTGTTTTTTAATAGACATTTTAGTAAAATTATTTATATGGCAAAACAACGTTCGCCGGCTCAGCTAGTAATATTATAAAGTATTAGATTCTCTGCCTTACAAGCATGTAAGGCAAAGAACGCTGTTGTGTGAAAGTACGCTGCGTCTTGTTTTAAACCTCCTCGTTGGTCTATCGGCATTCGGCTCTCGAATGCAGACGTTGAGGTCCTAGTTTTCATAAGAAAATTTCTAGTAGGTAGGCAATTACTAGTCAGGAACTTGAAAGTAGTGGAGTTGGTATCTCAGCGGCGAACGGTGGTCTCCGGATAGAATTTTCACCGCTTTAAAATTTAAAATATTCCCAACGAAGTCCAACGTGCTTTAAAATAAATCGAATACACGACCGGGTGATTATTAACAATAAATTGCTACCTACCATTAGAATGAAACTATAAGAGAAAAATCTTGTGCCCAGAGATCGAATTTCAAATAATTTATATATGTTTAATTTAATTAAACACTTTAACGGCTTAAAACGCGATGTATATTAGTTAAACTTGTCTGGACATTATTTTACCTACGGCCCGACGTTTCGGATGCTTGGCAGCAACCGTGTTGACGGGCAGACTAAAAATGGAGGGTGTCTACTCGCGTAAGCTAATAACAGACTTTTTTTTCTACAGCTGTATGTAAATGTTTATAGGTCAGTTTACATAAATGAGTATCCTCTATCAGGACGGGTCCGCAACTGCTCTCAAAGTAATTACGAGGGATACATACAAGACCTTCAATGTACCTACCGATCTGGTTGAATATTCATCGCGTTCTGTTGGTGACAGCGAGCGGTAATTAACAATGTTCCAGCAACTTTGTACGTTCGTCCGGACAGACGAGATACTAGTAGTTTAACTAGCTGTGCCCGCGACTTCGTCCGAGTGAAATAATTATTTTGGGCGTACTAGAATAGTTACTTTGGTCGTTCAAAATTGATTTTGCAAACTGTTACCTACGTCATCGGACGCGTCCCGTCG